GGGCAACAATAATTACTTTGGTCAAATTCAGTTCTTCGATTTCTTATTGAAACACAATTGCTATCAAGTATTTGGTTTGTATGGGTGCCATCTACATGTTTATTTTTGCGTTCTGTGCAGTGCTTAATGGCTATATATGCGAAATCTGTTTCAGACGTTTTGGTAGATATTTTGGAAGGAATTCACCAATATCATGTTTCATAGTTATTAAATTTCAACAGACAAAATCAACTTAAAAATGAAATGCGAAATTCTGTATTTCGGGCATTTCGAAACCACTTACAATAGAATTTCTGAATGGCACTGAATTAAGGTTGAGGTCGATATATAATGAGTTATTGATTACAAAGAGTTTCCTCATCAGTAGAATTGTTTAAGGTTTCAAAATCATTATTCGAATATTCATCATCACCGTTCCAACTAACGCTTGCATATTATAAGCAAATATTTTATATTATAAAATCCCTCAATGTACATCAACTTAACCCTAAATCAGCTTGTTTTTATTTGCAACAGAAAGTGAAAGAGTTGAATTAATAAGCACTAATAACATATCATTGGTAAAATACTCATTTTTAACAAAGAATCTCGCAACGAGAAGCAAGTATCTTTTTTTTTTTTTTAATGTACATTTGGTGGTTGAGAATATATCCCTTGATCGCCGTATGGTATTCGATTTGAATTACGATTTTTGTACGAAGATATTTATGTTAGTTCACGACCTTTCATTTTCTCAAAATATTATCTTTGTCAAGTATGCGAGCCAAAGTTTAAAGGCAGATATAAGAATATTTTCGTAGTTTAATTTTCCAAACCTATTCTTTGTGAAACTAACAGCTGATTTTTTTCGTGTTTCTTTCTCCCAGACCTCAAAAAGGGAAAGAAAATGTAGCACCAGAAACCAATGGCGTTGACTCAATACCTGATTACAACACAGTTATAAAGGAAGAACACAGTACAGAATATCATAAAAAGGTAATTATAGATAGATGGATATACGTGCGATATTTTTTAATACCTTTGAACCTTAGTTTTTTACTCTTAAAACATGTTAGTTATGGCATTCCTTTATTTTTAAACAAAAGTCCAGATATTATTGAATAATTTATTTCTTATTGTTGTACAAAATCTGAAAACATTTCAGTTTGATTGTTATTAATTAAATCGTGCGATTTTTATTATAGTTGTCGCTTTTAAACTTCTTCTATCACTAGGATGACCAAATTAGTTGAATAATTCAAACAGAAGTTAGTCAGTATATATTCTGTGTTTACTTGTTATTGCTTTAGATTCCTAATGAGAGCCAATGTCACAAAAATAGTAGTAACTTAATAAAAATCGCTGTTTGAATCCATGATTAGTTGTAGAGATAAAGTTATTTGTGTATTTAATATTGTTTTCAGACAGTAAAAGAGACTGGAAATATTAGAATTACTTCCGCAACAATGAGCTTAGAGAAACAGTTTCCCGCCATGAATGAAGTGAAGCCAATCCCGCCTCAAACTACGGAAACTATTTCAGATGCAATACCCATGGAAGTAGAAAGTACACCAATCGCAGAATCTTCCCCTAGTGAATATAGAGAAAGCAGTCTTACAGAGAGAGTGACACAAGACGACCTGAAAAACGAAAATAACACTATAGAAACCGAGAAACAAGTAGAGAAGCAAACAAACATAAAATACACCGACAAACGCGCCACTGTAACAAACGACGACATGAAGTCTTCTGAGCTAACTGATATCCAAGATAAAAGTGATACCACCATATCTGCCACGAAAGAATCCGACTTGGGAACAATATCTTCAATTTCTACTTTACCCACTACAGTTGAAAGTACACCTAAAACTGAAATTGGTTGTCAGGAACATACAGATGCGCCCCCATTATTTAAAGTAAAGAAATTTGAAAAAACAGCAGAGCATTCTGTTTGGAATCCGTTGGGGTCTAGTGCTAACTTCTGTTCCCAAAGATGGTGTTCCAATCTTCAAGATGGATATCCCATCATCCACTGAGAGTCCTAGGACTTCTTCCTGGAAGCCCTCTACGCTGCCAACAGTAAGAATTGGAGATGAAAATGTAAATATATGTTTTAAAGTTTATCATTAATTTGCATTCACTCTTGTGTGTGTAAAGATTTATAGTCCTTAATATAAAAACACAAAACTACATGTAAAATATTCATAGTCGATATAAAATGTTTTCCTCGTAGCATTTGGCAATATATTTAGCTCGTGCACATGTGTTTGTATTATATTTCACAAGTAATTTTGTGTTCCTATCAAGGTTATTAATATTTAGGGTGAAAGTTAATATCAGTTAGCATCAGGAGCAAATCCAGGTTTAAGAGTGAGAGGGGGGGTTAAGGCTTGATAAAGGGCACTTTTCCCGGGAGCGCCAAAGACGCGATTAAAAAATATTTGATTGATTAGGGCGCTGCTTTCAAAAGGGGGTAGGTCGAACTACCCTGAACTATAACTTGGTAACGAGGATCCCACTTTTTAGGAAATAAAAGTTTTGAGACGGCTTGATTGGATAATGAAAAACTTTATTATAAATGTACGTCAAGCCGTATCAGAACTTTTATACCTTGAATGATCTATTGGATCGATCTTTGGCTAGCACACTTTTGATGGTCTCTTGAAGAGAGACCCAAAATGGCATCAGCATGTCATCAACTTCACCATCATTACGAATAATGTTCACCACTTTAAGGATTAACTTTATATAGCAATAGGTTCTATTCAGTGTATTTACATCAACATTTGAATAAAATAATAATCATGTTGTCAATGATAAATACATATCTTGAACTGCTTATGTATTAATGTTTTTTGTTACAAAAAATCTAGAATTGTAAGGTCGCAAAAGTTATTTAATTATTTCTTTGCATAACATTTGTAAAATGTTGTAGTTGTTTTGAAGTTAAGCACAAAGCTACACAATGGGCTATCTGTGCTCTGCCCACCACGGGTATCGAAACCCGGTTTCTAGCGTTGCAAGTCCATAGACACACCGCTGTGCCACTGAGGAGCCGTTTGTTTGTTTATAATTAAGCACAAAGCTACACAATGGGCTATTTGTGCTCTGCTCACCACGGGTATCGAAATCCAGATTCTAGCGTTGTAAGTCCGCCGACATACCGCTGTGCCATTGGAGGGCAGGGGGCCAATATTACCAAAATTGGGTAATATTTGTAAGGCGGGATGTTAGCAAATTTATTATATTATAAGCTGTTACAGGTTAATTACGAAAAAAAGGTAATCACGTGTGATGAATCCATGTTTTTTTTTTATTTTAAGATAAACGTGTCAAGAAAAGCATTGAATTACAATATATTACGATTTTTGTTCTATTTAAATTCCACGTAGAAAAATCTTTAAACGGTCGTCCCTAGTGGGTCATAGGTAAGCTTATAGACTTACAAAGTCAAAATCCTAGGTTCATTACCCATGGTAAATAGAGTGCAGATAGCCAATTGTGTAGATTGGCGCTAAAAGCAAACAAACAAAACTTTTTACAGTTACACGAACAGGTGTAACGCGCATGCAGTGGCTGCATGGTATAATAACGATTTTCCTAGCTACCGGACCGTATTCTACAGAAGAATTAATATGAATTTTATCCATGACACTCACGAATCAAATCAATAGCCAAGGAGGAAGGAGGTAAAGGTCCAGGGTGTACCTGACCCTCTCAGGTCACTTGACCAAAACAACAATCAGTGAAACACACAAATAGGCAGATCGTCGGTAGCTTTTGAAGAGAGAACACGTACCATGCAAATAGGGAGAAAGAGGTCATCATTGTACCTGATCTCCCCAGGTCATTGACCAAAACACCCATCCCAAACAGAAGTTTCGTTTTGTTTCGTTCACTCGAATAAGTTAAAAGTGTGTGTGTGTTTGCTCCCTCCAAGCTCAGAAGAGAATTTTGAATTCAAATCTTAAATTATACTTTATGTTTGATAAATTTTGGCGTACAAACAAATTCTTTTTGTAAAAATTATAGAAATATATTTTTTTTAAGTGATAGTATTTTAGTTTATCATAATCCTTGCCTCGAGGTGGAATAATTGCTCTGCGATCAGTACAAAGTGGAAATTTTCTGCCACGAAAAGAGCTTATCTCCCAGTTAAACTTCATCATGTATTATTCGTAATGTAACGAAACATAAAATACTTAGAGCGACAAGAGTATGATGATATACTACAACAGATGAGGCTTAACATTAGTGTCTAGTAAAAACATGCATAGATATGTGGATTTCCCTTCAGAGTAGAAACGTCTCAATGGCTAAAGTCTTAACCAAATCCTCCATCTGCATCATCGTGTAAGATACATTAGCTATACGCTGTGTATAGATAATAAGCTCTTAACCGGGGGAGGAAGCATGCCCCATTTTGAATATTTTACATCTAAACATTTTATCGATTCGCCTTGCTTACCTGTTCTTCCTTTCCTTTACCGCTCATCAAAACATTTACTAAAACCCTGAAACGTTCAATTAAGCACGCGAACTATTTAGATGATTATACGCTTTTCCATTGAAACATAATTATATCAATACAGAATCTTATGTCATTCATAAAGGCATTCAAAATATTCAGTTTTATTAATATTATTAAAAAATCGTGAAATTACATAATTAAAAAACTTCTGTTTCAAGATTAATTCGTATACTTAATAATACTAATAATGTTTTGCGAGATATTATGAATATTTTTTAATTTAACATCGAATGTTGTACGAAATGAAACCATAAATATTTAAAAGAACGAAAATATTAAATAACCTACAAGAATAGATAACTTTCTAGAAAGACGTAAAATATCAAACAATTGAAGCAAGTGTAAGTATTGTTAGAACTGTACTCAAGCTAAGCGTGCGTTTTTGCTTTTGTTTTTGTTGAAAGAATATAAATATAAAGCTAAACCACGTGTCTGCTAGCACAGCAAATCATTTGAAGAGCTAAACATCCGGCGTTGACCACAGTCATTAACTAACATGAGTTCGCCAACAGTATGTTATCCCAAAATAGCTGACAGACGAAAGGAACGCTATAATACTGACTGCCGGGCGAACCAGCTTGAATTCATGCCAGCAGTCAAAGATGTTAAACTCAAGTTCGTTTTGTGAAAAACCTTGAAGATAAACAGCTCCTTTGACTCAGTATGTCTGAAAACAACAATAATATATATATATATAGCAGATACTGTGGGCAGTTCTTATTAAGAGATACAATCAATACTATGTTTAAAATACTATCTTCATAAGCTATGAATGCAGGACAAGTTTGTGTTACAGTTCTTGATAATTTGGTGACAGTATCTTTCTTAAAAAAAAAAAAAAAGATAACAGATGCCTATAGAGTGTGGTTCATATACAAACATTTTAGCTAGAGATCAGTATTCTTGAGGTTTTTACGTCACATCTGCTTAGCAACGAGAAGTGTTCTCCTCAAATGGCGTGCAAATTCACTTGGTATATTGCAATAAAGTCACCCAAAGTTATTCTAGTCCTTCTTTATATGATCAAAATTAGTTGACGTACCCATTCAACGCACGGGGAAGATACCGAGTTCCCTGAGGACGACATCATGGCGGGTAGATCCGAATGTTGACCCCCCCCCCTCGTATGTCACTCTCCAGGAGCCTTAAAGGGTATGTTTGGTTTGGTGACAATCGGTTCAGAGATACGTTAGCTATAAGTGGAAACACGCACACAGACTTTTGTCAAATAATGATCTAGATAATGTAACTATATTAGTTTAATCATTAGAATTTGGAGATTATATTATGTTTTAAAAAAAATTACAGTTCTAAACACGTTTTAAATTCCCTCTCTATATGTATATTTTTATTTATCTTCTTCAGATTACAAAAACCAGCTCATCTGCTCAGGAACAAATCAAGAAAGTTCCCCCTCCTATTCCTCCTAAGCCTAAACAAAGACCAGTTAGCGCCCCTCCGATGGATATTGACATCCTTGACCAGGCGAAAATAGAAGAAACGGTGAGAAATTCTGCATCACAAAAATTGATTTAAGAAATTTAACTCGTTATTGAAGACACGATCAAAACTAATTTAATTTTCAATTACGCTTTCTGAAATAATTTATGGCAACAAGTAATCCCAATAAGCGTTTGCCAGATATATTTTGTCTTTTTTTTTCTGTAAACTCCAATTTGAAAACCTAAATAATAACAGAAAAACAAACAGACGTCTTAAGTGCTACTTGTTTATCATACAAGCTGTTCAGTTGAAAATTTAACAAAGGCCCGGCATGGCCAG